TCGTGCCCAACTGATATATCTGATTTTCTGCAAAATCTTCAGGTATGCAGATTTTTTATTTGGAGAGCAGATTGTGTTCATGTTTTATTGTCACTTACTCTTTGCTTTTGAATTTGGATAGAGGAAGATAAAGTTGAACCTGAAATATTTAAGGGTTGAAAATTTAAATGCATGTTTGAAACTTATAGAACTGGCTTCGTTTCTTTTCCATTTCCTCCATCTGCAAACGTCTAAGAGGTTTGCAAGCTTATACTTCCCCCTTTCCAATAGTGTCCCTGCTTACTAACAGAGAAATATACTACAACAGGTGAACAGAGAATTAATGGGTGTCATTGAGTCTCTAAAACTTGAGAGTGAGAAACAGGAACCTACTGAAGGATCATGTGAAGAAGAGACAGATGACGCGGAAGGAAAGCCAGACCTTGCTGTTAGTGATGCAGAAATTGGCAATGAAAATTCTGAAATAGCTGTTCCAAGTGATGTTATGGTGAATCCTGCAGCTGATCGCAAACCTAAAAGGACTAGAAAGGGAGTTAACAATCCACAGCCTGGTGTTGTTGATCGTAATGCAGCTCCCGAAGCGAAACGCACTTCTAAGAGGAAGCATGCTGATAATGGGGATTGTGATCGGAAAGTGGTTGTTGGCGTCAAGAGACGCAGGAAAGGTCAAGAAGCAGCAAATGATGCAAATGAATCACCGTCAAGCACCCTCCAGGGGCAACCTTCTGATGAAGATCTTGAATGACCAGTTCTTTTGATTCATGTGCCATCCTCTAGGAATGTAGTCGAAGCTCCATAAACAGAGAAACAGTTAGTTCCGAATAAAAAAGTGGAATAAATCAGAGTAACCGGATCGTTCATGTCAACTGGGAGGATTCTACAGACCCTTCCCTTGCTTCGCATGTCTACGCCTGTTGGCCCGACCCTTGAAACAGAAATCAAAATCATTATGAAATACCCCAAAAGTAGGGCAGAGGGTAGGGGAAAGTAGAGGGAGAAAATAACGTATATACTCTGAATCTGATGGTCCTTTTTTTCGTTTGAATAATTTATGTAGAGGTTAAAAATTCCAGATAGAGTGGAATAGCTGCATTTAGATCTAATAAATCTAAACAGGGCAACTCGAGGTCTCCCTGTGTAATTATTTCTTTGTTTCTCTAAACTTGAGTTTAAATTAATAGTAATTTTGTAAATACATTGATCTTTAAAAAATTCTTTTTCATTTTTTTCCCATTATTTGAAATTATTTTGGTAGTAATTATTTTTTTTCTTCTATATTTATGTAAAAAAAATTATTTAGTTTGATTATAAAATTTGTTGTAAATTAAATAAATTAAATTTAATAAAAAAATCATCTCACTTTTATAAATTTTTTTAATTATTATTAAAAGAACTTTTGAACCTATTAAAACATCTCAAAA